AGATTTGCATGCGTTTCGGAGGATCACCTAAGCGCGCCCACTACCGACCGGACATCGCAAATCTACAAAACGCTGCGGTTTTAACCAGGTACCAAGCCTCACTGTCAACTTTGCTTGGCTCAACTATTGACGGTGATCTCGATTCGCAGTGGGCGCATATCAAAGATGCGTTAGTTTCCGCCAGTATCGACACTTGTGGAGTTACCCGTCACCCACCGAAACATTGGATTTCCGCCGACTGCTTGTCGCTGATGGACAAACGCCGCTTGATCCCATCGGATTCGAGACACGTTGAATAACGCCAATACCTTGGTCGAGAGTTGTGCAGGAGTCTGCAAATGGACCGCGAAGCTTGGTGGTGTGAACGTGCTAGGGAGATGGAGCTTGCTAGTCTCTGTGGTGATACCAGGAAACTCTTCCATCTCCTTCGAGTCACCGAAGGTGTTCGATCTGGTATAAGTGAAACAATATGCGAAGAGGATGGCACCTTATTCACCAATCTTCAACGACGTTTGGAGCGATGGGGCCGAACATTTTGGCTCGCAGTTTTGTTGGCCCCCAGCTCCATCTGCTACCTCTGGCGCTCGCGCTGGGGCCGAGTGGTCTACCCCAACAGTCCCTCCCTCTTCCCAGGAAATCGAGCAGGAGCTCCGGCACCTGAAACGTTATAAAGCTCCCGGCCCAGATGGTCTTCAACCAGCTCTATTTAAAGATGGTGGCGCATCGCTGGTCCGAGAACTCACCGCTTTGTTCTCGAAAATTTTGTCGAAAGAGAAGGTTCCATCATCTTGGGGTGAATCGATCGTCGTCCCCATCTTCAAAAAGGGCCTGCGCACAATCTGCTCCAACTACAGAGGAATAAGTTTAGTCCCCGTCGTTTGCAAGCTGCTGGTGTCCATCATACTTCGCAGGCTATCCCCAACACGCGAATCGTTGCAGCGAGAAGAACAAGCTGGGTTTCGCCCTGGTCGCGGCTGCATCGATCAAATCTTCACACTTCGCCAGATCCTCGAGCTCCGCCATGTGTATCAGAGGCCAACGATTGCTGTGTTCCTGGATATCCGTGCAGCCTTCGATTCTGTCGATCGTACAATACTGTGGCAGTGCCTTCTAAGGAACGATGTCCCCGAGAAGTTCGTCTCCATACTGCGCGCTCTATACAGTCTGACCTCGGGCAGGGTTAGGGCTTATGGCATGCTTTCGCCTACCTTTGTGGTCTCCAGTGGAGTTCGACAAGGATGCCCTATCTCTCCGTTCCTATTCAACTTTGCCATTGAGGATGTCCTGAAGAACGTTCTGAGCGATTCGTTGAACGCTGGCTTTGAGCTCCTCCCAGGTAGTCGAGTTGTTGATTCGGAGTATGCTGATGATTTCGTCTTGCTGGGTGACGATCCACAGGTCGTCCAGCTTGCATTAAACCGCTTGACGATTTAAGCATCAAAGTACGGTATGTGCTTTTCGCCATCCAAATGCAAGGCTCTCCTTCAAGACTGGCAGGTGCCTCTGCCTGCACTCACGCTTGCTGGTGAGACACTGGAGGTTGTGGAGAGCTTTGTCTACTTGGGAAGTTGCATCACTGCTGGCGGGGCTGTTGGAGACAAGATTTCGATGCGCATCTCGAAAGCACGCCTCGCTTTTTCTAGGCTGAGGCCATTTGTGGCGTCGCCACGACATTCGTCTCTCCATCAAAGGGCGGGTCTATTGTGCAACTGTTCGTGTTGTACTGTTGTACGGATGCGAGACCTGGCCCATTCGTAAAGATGACTTGCGCAGGCTATCCGTCTTCGAGCACCGCTGTCTGCGGTCCATTGCCCGTGTGTGGTGGCAGCACCACGTAAGCAATGTGGAAGTTAGACAGCGTGTCTTGGGACGTGGAAGCCCACTCGCTCGAGGAGCTCATCTCACTGCATCAACTGCGGTGGTTGGGACACGTATTGCGCTTGCCTGTCCAGCGTTACCCCCGTCGTGCGTTGTTTGCACTTGCTGGACAGGGCTGGAAGAGACGGTCTGGTGGACAGCCTACAACATGGAGAAGCCGCATGAAAAAGTTGACGAAACAATTGGCCTCGGCCGGTTGTTGTCGACTACCTGCTTGGGGTCCGAGGGATGAGGATACTTGCTGGTTGAAAACCTTGGAAGTTATGGCTCAAGATAAATGTCAATGGCGAACGTGTGCATCGGTTTGTTGCGGTGTCCCTTCCTCCTCCCTCTAAAAAAGAACAAACTGGAAAAAAAATTTCAAAAAGTGTGAGTGGTAAACTTGACAAAAAAAGCATTTCTTGTTGCTCTTTTCTTATTATTCATGTTTTCCTATTCAGCCATGATTCCGATGGCACAATATCTGTACCACAGATTGTGTATAATATATATATATACCCAGCTGGCACCACGAGGAGATTGTTCGGCTAGCCATCCGAGCCACGTGCCTAGCCCAGAACCCCCTACGCTCTAGGACGCTGCCGCTAATTGTTTGCGACTGTTTATTCATCTCGCTCGCGAACAGCCGAGACTTATTCCCAGTTACCTTCGAAGGCTGTGGGGCCCCGATCCGCAATCTGAGGATGCGCCCAGCGGCGTAAAGTTTCGCCGAACCAACCAGTAGTCAGTTCACTTCAGGGATGGTATTTATGTGTCCAACAACGTGCCCAACTCGATATACGTACTGTCCATCTCTTGATGGCTTAGCTATCTATATTTGGAGCCCTGACTGAGCGCGATGATATGTTGGTTCGCATACTACCGTAATGCGCTGAGCATTGTTGTCCGAGCAACGCTTTCCTGACATCCCAGGGCTATTCACCGTTCAATACTTGAGGTGTGTTTCTCACCCTCAGCTAACGTGTATTGTTGATGATGATTCACCATTCACGTCAGCGGGTCTTTCTTTTCTCACTTTGACCTGCGACAATTTGCTGCTTTGCCCCGCGACACTTTATGGCATGTAACCTCAATCAGGTTGGTGTCAACTTTATTGACCGCTAGTTGTTTGTGCTTGGGGTCATTAGCTTACTGTCTCGCCTCGATCTATACGCAGCCCTGGTGAAGTGGGTTCTAACACATCATATTTAGTATACGGGGTTGACCCCCTGGCCGCTGATGTGCTACACATTTAACGATATTACATGTAACAGGCTCTGTGCAGCTCTCCAAGCAGTTCTAAAGTCATGGATTTGCTTTCCGCTGCCTTGTTCATGGTTCCAACGGGTCAACGAATTTGCGTAGTCCCACGAGTAGACCAACATATGTCCCACTGCTTTTCGAATCGGGCTTGTGTCACAGACTGGAATGAGGTACCCTCGGGCGAAACCTCTCTCTGACTACGCGCCCAGAAAGTAGCACTTTTCCGCATAAACTCTTGGTTTGTGTCACTCCTCTGTTTCCTGTCGTTCCCAAGTTATCCCTTCTCAAATCAGTCAACCTTGAATTCAGTTCCTGCTAGTGAAAGAACTGTGTTATTCATTCAACCTGGCGTTGTTCATCAACACTTGGTTTCGTAACGTCTACACAGGGTATCATATGAGCCATCGTGTGACGCTCGCTGCATCTTTCGCTCCCTGGAAGCTGGCTTATTGTGCATCTCAGAGGCACCGATATTCGACAGCGGCATCCCGATGCATTTGCGACTTATCTGGCTCATATTCCAACAATGTGGTAGACACACCTCGCCTCTTCAATAATACCGAACCCGTACCTCAGCAGAGTTTCAATGTCGAAGTCAGCGGATTTGCGCGGAGCGCTCTACTCGAATAAGTTCCTGTGAGGACAGCTGTCTGTGCATTGTGATATCAGACCTCCGTTGAGGTTAATATGCACTAACCGAACGCAAGGTATTTTTCCCACCCCGACTGCTTCCCTCATCCACTTTAACCATTGTCCTTCATTGATCAATTGTATGGACAATTTTTCTTCCTTTAATAGTTCAGACAAGAGTACGGATGATTTGATCACTATTGGCTCTATGAGCACTCTTCGGGTCGTCTGCCGGACTCCGCTTACCGCTTCGAAGGCCGTTTCTAAGCCGATGCATTTCGCATTGCCAGTGGTAGCCGGTCACCCTTTATAGCTCAATTGCACGACTTCCCGTGCACTCGTTTACATCGAGTTTTAAACCGTTAATATTTCTAAATTTTCTATTAGTCTTGTTTGTCAGTGTCTGCTGAGCGCTTGACATTGACTGACGATTGACTTTCGCCATTAGAAACACATCACGTAACAGCTCTCCGTTTTTCCGACTATCCCACCAGTGTAGTGTAGCTACTTCTGCAACTGCCTCGCATTGTGGCTTGTAGCAGGTATTATAGTCCCCCTGGATTTGCCATCTCTTGAGGATCGTACGTCTTTAGCAGTGCGTCTTCTGTCAAAAGCGGCTGTTGTCTAGCTCATGTTATGCGTTATTCTCGCGGTCCTTTTTGCTTCCGCAATCTGAGAACAATGTTTTCACACCGTTAGCGCCACATGTTCTTGTAGAAAGTAAGAAAGGCATCAGCAGTACGCCGGTACGCATTACGGACACTTCACTGCCGCACAACCACCATCAGTGGCACGTGGGCTATGGATACTGCGAGGATCGCTCGGTCCCTACGCAGGTTTGAACCGGCGCCGTCGGATTACAAGGCAGGTTTGTGATTCTTTAGGCTACGACCCGGCACATGCAATTTTTGTGTACGTGTTTTGCGCTAAAGCCGCGTCATTCATACGATGCCGATTTGTTTCCACCTTCCATTTTGTGCATTTTTTTTAATCCTTCTGTACCTGCCGCCATGCTTGTGTATTCTGTCCTGTCACATGGTACAGCAACCCCCATAGTAGCACATTGGCTGCCGTATCATCGGGTCAGTTGTCCACGGATCGTTTGTTACAAGCTGATAACCGTCATCCCGTTCCTTGCATTTGAGTAACCCGTACACAATAGTAGTAGTTGTCTTCTGTTCTGCTGACAACACTGAAATTGCTTTGTCTTCATCGTTTAGCTCATTCTATTCTTCTGCTTTTCCACACAGATTTATTCTCTCCGCGGACACAAAGAAGACTTGTGAGCGATTAATGGACCATTACAAATCAGGCCATTCTCCACAGAACAACGTTGAAATGGCAAGTCCCTGCTTTTATCACAGCTCTCGCCTAAGGGTTGAGAGCGTACACTCAGTGGGGCTGTGACACAGTATTTCTTTTCAATTTCTCCGTCATTATGGCTTTGTAGCTTCTTTTGACTACTTTAGTACGACTGCCTTTTGCTTTCTAAAGATCATCCTTTGTTATCATACCGCTCGGTTTCTCCTCATTTGGTCCTTCTGGTTTCGAACCGGTAACATCGCAACCAGTGGCCAAGCATTTCGTTTTTTCTGCTTACTTGATGTTCTGTGCGATTATTTTTACACTGACTAATATTGAACCCATAGCAATTTGGCTGCTGCATTACTTCAATCATCAGGGGCGGAGCTACTCGTGGACTTTAGTTTCTGCAGCATGCAAAGCCATCGGATAGACACAGTTTCCTTCAAGGTGACTACGATTCGGTTTAAAGCGACTCCCACCCTCAGCGGATACCTACTTTCACGGAACACCACACTATTGAGGAGTAGATGGAGGAGCGCGTTCCAACTTTTGGCTATTGTAATTCTGGAGAGATCTAGGCCACCTTAGTTGTGTGTCAGCCTCCTACTGAGCTTGAAATGTCCGCATACTTAGACACGAGCATATTCTCTTATTTGAATCCTCACTGGTCATACTAATTTTTCCTAATTTTATGGCTCCTTTTGTGCCCGTGTTATAAGGGGCTCAACAAATGCCCAGCTGCGTCCTCCGAAGGCCGTTCGGGATACCTCGTTCAACACACCGCGGAGTTTTTGAACATCGTGTGACTAACCCACTGCTGTCTTCTTTTCTCCACCGTCACATTATCTTTCTGCGCTGGTTCGGATCATGACAGGCTAGTTTTGCATCCTCTTTGAGTGAACTCTTTTACACCGTAGCACCATTTACTTTCTGCTGTCAAACCAGCAATCCACTGTCCTCCATTTATTCAGTTCCCTTTACTTATTCCAACACTGCAGCTGTCTTGTTACATTTCTCTTTCATCTTACTCCACTGTTACCTCCCCTGCACTGCGTTTACACAGGCTTCTGACCTCACGAATTTGAGCCACGTCTGGTTCCAATTGACCTCATCCATGAACATCCACATGACTCAAGTTGCGGACTTTTTGGCCATTCTACATGAGTATTCTGAACAACTTGTGCGTGATGTGGTTCGATCGTCAAACGATCAGGTGCGTGTGTCATGCATGATTTCGATATCATTCTCCAACCTTTTGCCTATGTACTTCAGGGTCATCATTTATAGCCTTGTACAGGTTTATTTTCAACGATTCTGTACACTACCAAGTCTTCCCTACATCAGTATATCCCAGCATGCCTCCTGCCAGTAATTTGGTCAGTGTTTGCGAAGATCGCGCTCACTTAGCTCCGTTTGATACAGACACCTAATTGCGGTACACCAAACGATTAGCTGTCTTCAAATTTTCATCTGCATGGAAAGCTAAAGCCATCGCCTAGTCTTTACGACACGGAGTTATGGATTCCCGCGCTGGCATGACTAGACTAAATTTAAAGTCCTCTTTTCTACTCATTATTGCACCGTTTTATCCAAACTACCTCGTTCCAATCTGATTTTTTTGTTTTATGCTTTTTAAGGGGGCCACTTGCCTACACCTCGCAGTGGGTCACGGCGCACTGTCTGTAATCCAACTTATTTTGGACTCTGGCTATGCGGAACCTGACCGTCTGAACACCGCCGGCTATTCGGCCGTCATGATTGCCGCCATGAGTCCGGTGAGTTACCATGCTTCATACGATGAATAATTTTAGAATCACCCAATTGAACATGTCCGTTTTGCAAGACATTGTGCACAAAGCGAGATTCAATCAGGGTTACATGATTGCCATCCTGTGGATGCGGCATGCTTTCCCGTCGTGGATTACCACACCAAACTGTTGAATCGTTTTGATGGTCGAAGCCACCTCCTGCTGATGGCCTATGTACTGTTTTGCACCCCACACAATTTCCCCCATGGATCGAGCGAAGAAACCTTATCTGAACATTGCAGTACTGCTAAGTCAATCAAAAGCGACTCTCCCGCTTAGTTAGACTACTACTGCACATTCTGCGATGCACTCAACGACCAGTTCATCCCCTCTCTTTTAGTAGTTCAAAGCTGACTCCCTATCACTATACCATGTATCAGCTGTTTGTGCCTCCGATTCAGCACTACGCAACGATTGCCTTTAGGCTTTTGCTATTCGGAGACACCAAACCTTACGCGGTGAAAGTCGTTGGACTCAAATCCCTGAGCTCAAGTTGCTTCGAACTTGACGACATTTCACTGGCTAAGCTGCTTTTGCAACATTGAATGCTTTATACACTTTCCTCTTATTGGGTGCCGAGCAAGCTACGCACTGGAGACCGCTTATCCGAATCCAGAACACTCGTCCGCACGGAATCCGACACCTATCGAATTCCCTTTCATCTTTGGACACTCACTTTAGTCCGAAGAGGAGTGATTATCAAAATTGCGACTTCTTGTGTCGGCACGACGCTAGCCTGTTAACGACCCGTGAAGGCGAGTACCAACTATCCTTAACTCGACTTCCGAATCAGAGAGAACTAAGGGTTCTCACACAAGTATATTGACTCCAACTAATCCATGGAACCGGAGCTGGCTGTACAGGCCACGTCGGCCGAGGTCACATTATGAGTTTCGTGCAAATGTCTCAATCGATCAGAAGCGGTCGTTTGCATTTTCCCATCAATATCAGCCAACTAAGTCCGCTCTGATACGTAGGTGTAACATTTCTGGGAAAACTCGGTTAACCCAACACGAACTTTTACATGGATTTGTTATCATGCTTTGGTGTCGAACGGGGGCTCCAACATGATCCATACTAAACTGTGTGGCCAGCCCAGATCCCCAACATATGTACAACACTTGTTGGCTTCGTACGGTGAACGTGAAGTTGAACTAATTTCTCTGTCACCGCATCTATGGGTGGACTCCATCGTGTGTGTGTGTGTGTGTGTGTGTGTACAGCCCAGAGGACGCGCCCAGCAATCTACAGCCACATTGTGGCATTACGCATATGCACCACCACCACCTCACGTTTTTTGCACGCTCAGCTGTTCGGCGAACTGCTACGTAGCGAATCAAATGACAGCTTGCTGGATTGGGGACAGGTTCATGTGCGAGAATTTCTAGATCTTAGTGTGGGGCATTACAACCCGATGAATCCACTCGTTCTTAGATGCATCCTGATGACTTTCCCTATCGGCCGGTGGTTGGTGATATAAGGCGTTTGCCTAACAAACCAAAGATCATCCGTTCGCTTATGCGCAGGCGTAGGTAACCTCAAAGTATCCCTTGTCCGCTTGCGACTGGTCGCTCGCAAGCGAGGCATTGCTGCGGTGCATCGACCGGTGCAATTTCCTCTCTTCTCCCCTATCATTTTGAAGGTGTCAGTTTATGTATGTATAAACAAGTAGAGGATTTTGGAAGAGGGTGTGTGAAGAAATCCTTTTTTCTTTTTTTCCGAGGTAGTTCCTATCTTGTTTTCCATTTTGAGATCCTACCGATGGCACACACACACAAAAACACGAATTTCTTCGTTTTTCGTTGAAGAGGTAGTACACGTTTCGTCTTAGATTCAGATATTGGTATGCCACGTCATTCCTGTTAACATAGTAATATGACCATCTTTCCAATCGCGCATTCTCATCAATCTTCAAGCTCCTTCCGTTTTGTGCTTTAACCGCTCGTAATCTCATATGTTGCGTCATTTTACGCAGGCTCGGGTGGTTATCATTTGACACCACCCGAGTCTTATTCCTACTCACAAATGCATGATGTTCGTTCATCGTCTCTTCCTCGATCACACCACGGAATGCGGTGGGGGGGGGGGCGTTAGCTATTCGGTGAGTATTGCACGTTGGTGCGGCGCGGTTCTGGGTGAGTCTGTTGTATGTGTGTGTTTCATTGTGATCGAATCGATCTGTCATCGTCTCGATACCTGTTGAACTCCGTCGCCTCACACACGTTGCTCAGAAACTGTGCTTGGTTATGTCCATTTGGTAGAACGACTTATTCACCGCCTGAAGCGCACACTGTGTTTGCCGAATCGCGTTGTCTACCTTTTCTGTCTTCTCAATTGATTCGACTCCAGCTTGACACCGAGAATGGTGATATGTGCAACTTGACTTGACTTGAGGAGCACACAAGAAGCCAGACATATTATTTCGGTTCTATTCGAAACTTAACTTATAGGCACAGTCTATTTGTATGGCCCGCGCACATACAACTGGAACTAGAGAGTACAAGTGTTCGAGTATACTAGCGAGTCATTTCAACTTACTCATCTGGCTGCAACATGCATCGGCTACTTGGCGCCTCAGTTTCTCTACACTTGGAGTACTTTCAGTCTGTACTCGCTCTTTTATGCTTTCAGTCACTAAGATGAATAAGTGAACGCATTGTAAGCGCATCAACCTCGCTATAGCTATAGCAACTCAACGTTTGGTGCAGCTGTTTGCCCCGCATCCAAAGTGACATGCCACCATGGGTAGCATCAGGATAATTTCATTATCTCCTGGCGGTGTCTTACCAAGAGTTGTGCGCAATCTCATTTCCTGTGTCCACTTGTGCTCCCTCATACATTTTTCATAAATGTAGGCAGTTTCGGCCACCTTCACCTCCACACATATTCTAACCCCCACCCTGATTTGTCAAGCAATTGTTACTACTATTGCCTGCAGTCACCTCTCGCTTTCCCTATTCGAACTCCCGTCACCACAGCGTTTCGTGGAGATTACCGTCAGAGCATGGTTTCCCCACAATCTTTAACCGTAGGAGATTCTCGTGTATTCTGTTAATACTCGGTTGTGGGAGCAACTAGAAATTTGAATCTATTTAACATCGACATATGATCAAAAGTGTTGTAAAAAAAACTTTTAAATGTCAACACACCGCTCGTTCCTCAAGTTTCACATGATACCTTAAAAATAGCGTTTAACTCACAGTAGATTGGGACTCACCAATACACGCTATCATTGTCAGTGAGTAATCATTCTCGGAATCTAACACTGGAGCGGTGTACATCCAACAATGCTTTGAACCGAGCTTGCTTCCAATTAATCCTCCTGTCAGCTGTTCCGAACATTTACCACCCGCCAAGCATTAAAACGCGCACAGATCATAGTACGCTTACTTTGCGTAGCAGTAAAAAGGGACTTCATTTTCTCATATTTTGTTTACTAATTTTTGCTCACTTAACTGGTCTCTACTGCGTCAGCGTACCATTTGCCATGTCCTAAAGGTTTCGTCTTTCAGCGTATGTTGCTTACGTTCTCTGGTAACGGTCACCTTTCGCCGCTGTGATTTCTCCGTTGGATCGTCAACCTAACGTTGCAATACAACTGTATGTATCCAAAAGATTCCTGATTATGTACTATAATAGACGAATTTTGTGGAATCACTTTTCAACATTCGTTGGTTGCCATGTACCGAAATTTACAATGAACTTTTAATTTTTGCAACCATCTTTTTACCACAGGTACCGTTTAGACCCATAAGTTGCGCGGGATTTCGGAGGTTCTGTGCACAATATTCACCCGTTAAGTATATCACTGGGTCTGAATACCATCTTTCTCCCCGAAATTCTGAATTTTGCTATCAATTTTATCCCGTTTCTCTTAACATGCATTAACCACTTTTTTCGTCACAACCAGCTCATCACCACCGATGCTTTGACCATCCTCAATCGACTGTTTTCCATGGGTAACGTGAACCTCCGTTCTACTGCCGGCTCCTTGCAAACACCTCTCATGATAGCGGCTCAGAACGGATCTGTCGAAGTGCTGCATTTGCTATTGCAAAATGGCGCCTCTGTCAACACTCAAGACTCCAGTGGTAACACGGCTCTCATGTTTGCGATTCAACGAGGTAGCCACGACATCATCGGCGCTTTGCTGGACCGTCCTGATTCGGATTTGAGTCTCAAAGACAATGTGAGTCAATCGTTCGACCCCCCATATGTCTCTCCCAATTTCCCTCTTAAGTGACCTGATGGGTGTGTGTGCATCTCGCGTTTCTATCCAGTGTCCACTCTTTGCCCTATCATTCTAGTTGTTCTTCATCATGTGGGCTTTGTTAGTCCAGCTTTCGATCTACTTCCATGATATTCGATGAGTTGCATCCACCCACTGAACCATCGAGATCCCCTCCTCGCTAGCACCAATTCTTCCCCGTTCGTTTATTTTACACCTATCGACTGTTTTCGTAATCATTCTGTCTTAACGGATGTTTCAGTAGTAGTGCTTTTTCGTGCATCGTTCGAATGCCCCGCGCCTAATGACAAAGTATTGCATGTTCGATCCTTCGCTGTTCCTGCTCTACATCAATCATATCACTTCGTAAAACATGCTCAGCCATTTCTATTCGCTGTCTATAAGCTTCGACGCGACAACTTTTACCGGGCACTTTTGCTCATCAGTCAACTTGATCTATATTAACTTGAGGCACGACGCTACTTTTAAATGATGAACCTTTCCACTAAAAATATCAAGCATCATGTGTTACAGCTGAGTGATCTGTTGTGTTTAATAACGAACGTCCCTATGCAACTGATATCGGATTTACGTACTCATTTACCCTGGACTTCTCCGAATAGATCCAAAATCGAGTATCGCCTGCAAGATGCTCTGTGAATAGTTGCCCCAACAAAATCTACACAGTCCACGCTAGAGTTGAGCATTTAGAGCTGCTCACCCCCTCCTCTTTCGACTACTGTAGTCCGACATATGACAACATGAGAAAAAGCGATAGAATTGCTCTGGAACGCCTGCGGAGTTCGTTTACAAAGCATCTGATTGGTAAGCACTCTGCCGCGGATTATCGAGAGCGTTGCAACCAACGTGAATTTGAATCACTTTGGATACTGCTTTATACTCTATTCCGATCTGCTTACACTCAAGCTATAACATAGCCTACTTTGAAAGCTTCGCAGCAAAATGTATACTCGAGTTATATCAAAGGCTAGAACAAGCATGCGCTCCAAGTGCTGGTCAGTGACTCCCATCTGTGGAATAAACTGCCAATCACACTCAGATGATGTGACAATGTGTCAGCATTTAGTAACCAACTAACTACTCCAAGAATGGTCAGAAATCGTCTATACACCGACGTCTCCAAACTTGTCTTTCGCCTCACCATCCACTAAAACGCTATTCCATGAATCTCATGCATCAATATTTCACATATGCTCATCGCCCACGCGAGAGCATAGTTAGTTTTATACATTTATACATTTTGATCTGTATCGTTATAGACATCGTTTCCCGGATTATTATCATTATTATTATAACATTCCCTATATTACAAAACCACCCTCTCCCCTACACGAACTGGTGCTTGTGAGACGGTATGGATCCCCTTGCCTTGACGGCCTCATCGTCGTTGGTGCAGGATCATCATCATCATCATCATTATACATGTCAGCTAGAGATGGTAAAACACCTCCGCTATTGTACCGCAATACATAAATGAAATACATACATACATACAATACATGAAGGAAAAATAAATACGACGTTGAATGCCAGCTGAGCTACCAGCAACGGATACGCATCGTTCCGGTAAGCTACTAGCCGGCTACTAGGCAAAACAAAAATTTAATTACGTTTTACCCTACGAAATAAGATCGTAGATGGAGGGGGAGGCTAAAGGGATGGGGAGGGACAAAGAAACTCACAGCAGGAACGCCACTGAGGTCGGCTCCTTGCCATATCAGCAAGTGTATCCAGCCAAACGTGTTCACCGTCTTTTGGACCCCAACCAGGGAGCCGTGAAGCTCCAACTGAGGCCAGCTCCGAAGTGAGGGCCTTCATTCCTCTGGACCAAGTCATCGCTTGGCCACCTCTCCTCTTCTTCCACCCACATCCCCGGTGAGCAAACAACGCACGTCGAGGGAGTCGGTGGGCTGGCATGCGCAACACGTGGCCCAGCCATCGGAGCCTGGTGAGTGAAATGACGGTGCTGAGCGGTTCATTCCCTTTTCCTAGGCCGTAAACAAGGCGTCGAACACGCTCGTTACTCACGCGGTGTTCCCACCAGATGTGGAGCCAAACTGCGAAGGCACCGATGGTCGAACGTAAGTAGCCTCTTCATGTCCGCCGATCTTAGGGGCCAGGTTTCGCAACCGTACAGTAAGGTCGAACGTACCGCTGCCTTGTACACTCTACCCTTCAGGGCGAGAGTAATGTCGCGCCGTCGCCATAGGTGGCGAAGGTTAGCAAAAGCACTTCGAGCTTTTGCTATAAGGTTCATGATCTCGTCATCGATCCCAAGGGCGCTGATACAACTTCCCAGGTAATTGAATTTCTGATCGACTTCTAGCTGATCCCCACCAAGGGTCAGCACAGGGAGCGAACCCTACCAATCCTGGAGGAACGCTTTGCACTTCGGTGGTGCAAAGCAAAGCCTGAAGCGACTGACAGCCAGTGCTAATCTGTCCCGCGCGGATTGACACGTCTGGGAGCTGTCACAGATGAGGGCAATGTCGTCTGCATACTCTAAGTCAAGAAGTCGTTCTTCTGGGAGTAGCTCCACACCTTCCAAGTCATGTCCTGTAAGTGCAAACTCCATGAATTCGTCAATAGCGAAGTTGGAGAGGAAAGGTGACAGCGGGCATCCTTGTCTCACACCGCTGGAGATATTGAAGGGCGGCGACAGCCTGCTGTAAGCCCTTACTCGTGACGTGCTACGCGCATATAATGCTTGGATAATATTTACATATTTCTCGAGCACACCTTTCCTGAGTAGACAATTCCAAAGGGCACATCGATCAACCGAATCGAAGGCACCTTTGATGTCGAGGAACACGACTACGGTGGGCCGCCAAAATGTGTGACGGTGCTCCAACAACTGACGCAAAGTGAAAATGTGGTCAATGCAGCCACGACCCCGACGAAACCCGGCTTGCTCCTCACGAATCTGGCTTTCACGAGCGCCAGTCAGTCTGTGGAGAATTATGGAGGCGAGTAATTTGGAGGCGATGGAGATCAGACTGATTCCTCTATGGTTGCCGCATTCCGAGCGCGAGCCGCCTTTGAAGATGGGAACAATAACGGAGCGGCTCCAGTCGGTGGGACAGGTTCCTGCTCCCACAGTTTCACTAGCAGTTCATGTAACTCATCCACAAGAGCAGGTCCCCCAAATTTGAAGAGGGCTGGAGGAAGATCATCTGGTCCCGCGGCTTTGTTCAACTTCAACAGTCCGATCTCACGTTCGACTGCTGAGCGAGAGGGTGGATCGAAAGGGACAGCCCACGGAGCGGGGCGATCAGTGACCGGCGAATCGAACAATTCCTTGCCGATTAAATTGCTTTACAAAATGCTCAGCCCAACGCTCCAGACGTTTTGACTAATTGTGGATAGGCTGTCCAATCTCGTCACGTATAGTTTCACTAACACCAGGTCTCCTGCTGCCCGTTTCCCGCATCAGACGGAATAACTTACGATGGTTGCCAAGGGCAGCGGCCACTTCCATCTCTGACGCACGATGAGACCACCAAGATTCGCAGTCTCTCTTCTGGCTAGCACGTAGTTTTGCCCGGAGCTCTTTGCGAGTTTCATTGTGCTCGCTTCCAGCCGGGATTTGCCGGCGAGCATCTATAAGTTCCAAAGACTGCGAATAACCCAATGTCCATGTTGTCTATTAGACATACCACATGAGGATTTGCCTGCTGCTAGTAAGGTCTGGCGAACATGTGACCAGTGACCATCAATTGTCTCCTGTGAGCGCTTGCTCAACTCGCATGTTAGCGTACTTCGATACGCATTCAGAACAGCTGGTTTTGTCAGTTGGCTGGTGTCAATACGCTCACAGCGTCGTCGTGGGCGTCCGCCAAAACGCATCCGCATGTCAGCACATACAAGTGCATGATCGGTGTCCACACATGTGCTCCAAATCGAGCGACAATTCTGGATGCAGCCTCTCCAGCGGTAACTTATCGCAATGTGATCGATCTGCGTGCAAGGCTGGTTCGAGGTTGGTGGGCGCCAAGTCACCCTTCGGCGGGTGCTGTGTCGGAAATTAGTGCTCGCAAGAAATAAGCGAGCATCTTCACACAAATGAAGTAACCGCTCACCGTTATCATTACGGGAGCCTACACCGTGTTGACCGCCCAGATGCAGTTCATCAGTGGACAACTTTCCAACTTGTGCGTTCATATCCCCCGCCAGCACAACAGTGTCCGTGCTTCTTCTGTGGCGAAGGAGCTGGGTCAGTTGGCGGTAGAAGTCGTTCTTTACCGAATCATCGCTACAGTTTGTGGGCGCATAGGCAGCGATGATGAATAGACATCTATTAGTCCCGCGCGACTTCGAAGCTTTAAACGAGCCAGCCAATCGGACCGCACACATCCGGCTACTGATTGGAATCCAATCAACCAGAGCAGCTTCAGCCCGGGGACTCAGGGCAATACCAACACCGGCTTGGCCGGTGCTCGAAGCTGCATCGTCACCGGATAGGCGCAAGGAGAAAATACTGCTTGCGTCCCCTGAAGGGGATCGCAGAGTGAGCACAGTGCTCGAGTCTTGCAGGCGAGTCTCTGATAAGCAGCAGATATCGATCGAGAGGGTCTCCAATGTTCGGGCAAGTGCTGCCTGTTGACCGATTTGTAGCAGTGTGCGTACATTGAGGCATGCCAATCTGAAGGAGGATCGAGGGCTCCAAATGGAAGCCGATGAACTGGATTGGACCGCTTGGTTGGACATGGGCTTGTCGACAGGAGAGGAGTGACGCTCCGCGTTCACGTGTGAGTTGAAATTAGAAGGTAAATGCCTAGCAAAGCATGTTGGGGGAGGGCCAAGAATCGGGGGGTTGAAAACTGGGGGGATATAAGTGAAGTTGGAATGGGACGGTAAGAGTGAAAAAGCGTAAGAGGGGGAATAAGAAGACGGGAAGGCTTGAGCAGTAGCATCCAAACCCCTATCCACCCTGCTCGATGCAGCAGATAGGGCACCGTTTATTATCCTCTGCGGTGGCCAGAAGCATCAAGAAATTGTTTGAAGAAATATTCATAGTATTGCGTGGGCAGGATACTGTCTGGTTGTCCATGTCTAGACAGGAGAACGATTAGCGCTCTCAAGCAAGTCCTTTGGTTGAAAAAACTGACCGCAAGGCAGCGGTGTTGGCGTGGGCTTACAAGGAGTCCATTTTAAGGAATAAGGTGCCACCCTCTTTCCACCCCCAACCTGGAGGACCAGGAGGCTGAGTTTGTCTGGCCTCTAACCATTGACCAATCTGGTATGAGTGACTCTGAAGTTGCAAAAGCACCACCCAGCGTAGCTCAATGGATCGCTGAGTGCACACAAACCATCGCACCACGGTAAGGTCCAGCCTCATTGCGATGGGTTGGTGAAGGATAGTGCTAACGCACTAGTAACTGCCTTGGTTACTCTTTTCAATCCTGTTTGGCAGAAGGATAATCTACGGTTCTCGATCGTCATTCTCATTTATTGTTAGATCCAAATAGCTTCCCACGAAACTCACCCGTCTTATCGTGATTATTCTCCGACTGCTCAGGTGCTCCATGCTATTTCAACGCAATACGGAAGACTGTTCAGCAATACTCTGGTCCATTTACGTAGCACTGATCGTACTCTTACCCCTCGATGTCTGCTTGAATGCTATGGGGCGTATTGACAGTCTAGCAAAGACCTCTTTTTTGACGTGAAAACCTTTTTTGCGTCTGTCGATGGTACGTTTTGTAGTGGGATCTATCTTTGAAGGGTGTACCTGAGAAGTCCCACTCTGTTCCAACTATCTCTATACCACGCCTCCCATGTTTGTGTGCATGTGTACGGAAAACCCCCATCTGAATTTGCGACAACACGTGGTGCGCCTCATACTGCTACCGTGTTTCTTCCCTCTTCTTCAACTACGACAGAAATGACTTGTCGTATTTCCCTTCTTCTGAATTAGTGGTTACGTTTTCTTACTGGCTATCGACCTTTGAGTACGCGGACGACACAGCTTTTTATATCGAATCTAGCTACTTGCTGTACAAAGGTTACTGAATAAACAGATGCGTGGCACCGTGCGTTTTGACATGTGGTTTTCACACCCAAATCGCAAACCGTTATTGCATGGCTGGAGCGATCCACCGACAGTTCACCGCAGTAGCGCTCGGAGTTCTGTATCGGTTTATTTATCAGTGTAGTAGTATCACCACTTGTGATCATACCACCAAAGAGGTTAATGCGAGCACTATGTAGGCCTGTTTGGCGTCTCACTGCCTTCACCGCTTTCGGAGACGGTGGGTTCCAAGCTTATTGCTTGAGAGAAGCTTTTGCGATGCGATTAGTGCTGGTTTCTTACTCGGAGAGACATCGCTGTCACTTCGCACTGGGAACGTTAAGCGACTGCCTGTAGCCTATTGCTCATACCTGATAAATGAACCGAATAGACAGCACCGAAATTCGTCATCTGGTGCGTCGTAGCCGACCCTCCGGTGTCTCATCGGTATTCCTGTTGATGTCGAATCATCCCCACTAGCTCGTTCATCTGCGCCACAAGCCTGTCAGCAGTTGGCCTTTTTTCTTATCATTAGACAACATTGCACCTAGTTACGTGATCAGTCCCGAGGCGATACATCAGTACTATGGCATATGAGTGGGGAAAATTCATCGGAGGAACTTTGTCGGATTGATGCTTTTCATGGTTGATCGTCTGAATGTCGCAATGCTAACTTAGTGGCACTCCATTGTCCCCTTTCTGATCTTTCGCTTCTCCTTCTGTCGATTCCCTATATGGCAAATTTCCCATGATCTGTTAGTATTACTATTGTTATTATTATCATTATTATTGACATGTTAACCAAAGCAACTGGATCCTTCAAGCCTCTGTTCACGAGTCGTAAACGATAGACTATTCTTACAGCCAAGCTCATTAGTTCGCCTGCATTCTCTACTCGAGCCTGCCATGCTGATTACGTCATTGGGTTTTTTGCCACTTAGGTAGGGGACAAAAATCCACTCAATTATTGTCGCATCAATCACCGTTATGACTATGTATTTTCCTGCCTTGTCACTAGCTATGCTCCTCAGGTAGTTGGTCATGTGTGCAGACATTCACACGCTTCTACTCGAATAAATAGAATTCGCATACGTAATGCACTTACAATCGAGAGCCGTGCATTCATTTTTGGTGGCAAATATAAACAATTTTTAAGCTTCAATTACTTTCTAGCTATCTAGTAGATGGACTCGGTGAGTTCCCCCCCTTTTTATGATGTCTCTACTCGACGCTGATTTGACTCAAAAGTGGGGAGAAGAAGAAGCATTGACAGCAGCACGTACACCGTGAATGCATTGCCGTGTCAAAATACAAACATGACAGTTATCACAATGATAGACGATATCGGTTGCCTGCCTGTCAGAGCATTTGAGCGGAGAAGCAGCAGAAGTATATGCATGGCGCAGAATAACAAAATGGCTGCCGAATTACACATTATGCACTAACGGCGTACGGAGAATGCGGCTACATGTGGCAACCTTTACAAACGGTTTGAAAAACACTCACGCGACCCGCCTGTGGTGGTGGTGGTGAACGAAGGAACCAAAGTGATGAGGCACAATATTCTGACGGAATCGTTGGTGCATACCATCTATTCAGCGTCCCCGTGTTTCTAGGAGTCTTGGCTAGTCTTCTATTTAAATACTACGAAAATCTTCTGATGGAGGGAACAAACGGAACTGGCAATTAACTTCCAGGCTATTGGGATACGTGTGTCAGCAGCGTGTGATAAATACCCGTTTGCCGCTTTCATCTTCTGGTTAACATACTACGATGCGTTTGATATTGATTTTGTTCTTTATGCGGTCGGCTCCCCATGTGGAGCAACACAAAACTCTTATTTGTGATACAGCTGGTGTAATTTCTCTATAAGCAGTCGGGCCGGTTTGGTGAAATGAACCTGAGAGCCAAAAAGTCCTGTAACGCTTTCTGGTGCACTCGAGACGAACAGATAAGTTTTGCGATCTCTGGACAACAATGAGTAGTCACTAGTAGAAAGACGCGATGTCCACAGAAGATCCACGACACAGCTTGTACCCGACTGTGCTCCCCTTTCTCCGAATGCGCAGATACAAAGCGAGTACAAGAAACCAGACTGTGATAGATTTTGGAAAGGGAAAGGCACCGATGTTGTAGTTCGTCTTAGAGAGTTCACGCTGGAGTTGACGGCGCAGATGGTGCCATTCTAGATCTAGGGATGAAGTCGTTGCGGCAGAGTGGAAGACAATGACGCCCAAGTGTCTGGGAAATCCTCGTGACTATGTGAGATGAAATATTTCAACTCCAACACGGACATGTCATCTTGGCCTATCTCCTAACAATGAAAACTATAAATGTTGCCAACTCTTTTTGCATCACACGGAAATTTGCTCAATCTACTTAGCACGCTTCGTGTGTTCCTTTCGTATCACTTTCATTAGTACCACTTACTGAGCAATCGAGCTGCATTCAATCCATTTTCACACTTTTATTGCTATCGATCTTGTTGCTAAAATTGCATTGATCAATTCTCGCCACCTCTACCTATCATCGGCTACAGCGCGGTGACGACGCGATGGCCATCGCTTTGCGCAAAAACGATCCCACTGTGATTGAATGGATTCAAAATGTACTGAAACATGGCAAACGCTCGGTAAGATTCTGATCATTCCATTTTATTTTACACGCATAACACAACAGATCGGTTGATGCAACTCGGGAAATCTCAAAGGTTGCCTAGTTCATTCGTTAAAAGCTAACGAGTCCGATCCAAAACATCCAACAATTAGCCTCATATTTTGGGAATGATACCTCAGTCGTCCGCGATTACTATTCTCAACACGGACAAGGGGACCCGTTGACACACATGGATTTGACACAGTAGCTCTTATTTGGTGTCCACGTCACCTTTCCTCTCCGATCACTGTTGATTCTCGTCCACTTGGTTTTCATTTCACATCTGATACGCAACATTGTACCAGCATCGATCAATCCACACTCACTTTCGTACTTTCATGTTCTTCCACGCTCCTTCAACTTGACAACCGTATCATGGAACGAATCAGATTTAACGTTGCTTCGTCGATTGCCATACTGACACTTTCAGTTCCTTTGTGGTCCTCATGTGAGGTCATTCTAAGAAATTCGATACATGCATTCGCTTGTTCGTTTTTTGCACGCAATTTTACCGCACACGAACAACGTTTGCATCTTCACGGTCTTAATCATATCCATCCGAGACCCAGTCATTGCGCAACGTTGTTCGAATTATTCTCTGACCTGCTACTCATTCGCTCGTCCCACGATACCTTTGATGTTGAAATCACATTCTGAACTTTCAATGCACAACGCATCGAATGCTGTCTTAGTGTGCTTCCAATTCGATTCATTCCGTTCACGTCGTCCCACTTATATGTCTCACGTAGATCAGAAATTTCTGCTCAATTATTGTTATCGTTCCGTCTTACTAGTTCCTCGTTCAAGTAAGACCGGAATTCACATTTTAGCCCACCTGGTTTCTGTCACCCGATGGGATTTCCGCTGATTGCGCTTTACCCACTCTTGTCCTCCGGTAGAATAGTTTCCTTCACTTCAAACAATTTTTGTGCACTGATTTGTTAGTACGATCTAGTCTAGAGCCTCTGATAAAACTCTGATCTTTTTGGCTGTTTTTTAAAAACAGTTTTTTTTCTTTAACGATTTGAAATGCACGAAAAAACGAAGACATTTCGTATTGTCTCCTCAGAAAATGTGCGAATTCGAACTGCTCAATTAAGCAGGGGATATAACTAATTTCGTTATGTGCATAGTTCATCGCCTGTGTTTGCTTCTCCTCCACTGCGTGAAGCCGAGCGGTAGCATCATTCCACAATTGCATGAGTCCCCAAAAACACAAGTGTGAAGTGCCACTCTGGCCAATTATTTCAGTGATAAACGCGCCCTAGCATAAACTGACATCTTTACTGGTGAAGTTGCTTTATCCACTGAAACAACAGTTCAACCAGTACAAACTCATTTCAACCCATTAGTGACTCGGCTGAACTCAACTTGTCAGACTAAATCATGTGTTCTTTAGATGTAGAATCCTTATTCAGCAACGTCCCTTTGTGGTGCACTACTAATGAGTAGTATGGTGAAACGAGCAGGCGCGATGAACTCAGCGAATAATGGATCACCGCGGACGACGGGCGCGTAGTGCACAATTCAACCAGCCCTGAAAATGGATGGCGCTGGAGCGTTGAATCTATACCGTGCCGTCACGGCAACCTGAGTCGATAGCACATGGCGCAGCGTGGAATCAAATGGCATCACGGATGAAGTGCGCAAATGAGTCTGACTGTTCTATATTATAGGTAGAAATTCGTCACATCTAGTCTCACTCAAACAGCCGTCACACGCCCGGAAAACTCTGTACGCGCGTTTCATCCTTCCGGGACTCGTCAGCAGTGCGCGTCCCATCGGACCCTGGTAGGGCTCGAACCCGCAACTCGACTGTTGCCAGTCCGTGGTTGAGACCACTGAGCTACGGAGGATGGCAACGACCATCATAAATAGGTTACTAGATGTGATATAACGCCGCTCACTATCCACTGACTTATACGTTACTGCCATGCAGAGGACAGGGTAGCCCCCTCACTAAGCGACGAGTTTAGAGATGTACTACACCATGTATACGTTCATTCTTTACTACACACCTCATTCGCAGCGCCCCGTCTTCTTCACACGTTGAGACCAGACGGTTAATTTCGTGTACGACTTAGCTGAAATCTCTGGCTGTTCGTTACCGATTCCGATTGAATTGTTGTGAGAATCTCTGTTATTGTGCACGGAGAATGTGGACTTTCATTTCCGGTACATACTGTACCATCAAATTGATGGGGTAGCAATGGGTAGCCCATTAGGTGCTGTTCTCCCTGATTTCTTCATGCTGATGGTAGAAAGAATCATTTTTACGGGAATAATCCAGGTCCCCTTCCACAAAAACAATATGTCAATGATATATTGGCCTTTTCTTCTTTGGAGCAGCGGCTCGCACAGTTGATAGAACACCTCAACGGTGTGCTTGCTAACATACGTGTTACCCGCGAAATAGTACCGAATAACTATCTGCCATGTCTGGACATCAGTCGACTGCGGTTGGCGACCGATTGATTTTTCTTGACTGTTTTTTGTATTTCTTGTTAGCTTTCTCCTTGCATTGGAATTATTTCATGGATATTACAATAGCATACATTTTCGTTTCTGATCCTGGATTTCTCGATCACACATACTTGTGTTATCTCTGTTTACCTTCGGAGCTCTTACTATCGCTTTGTGCTCCACAATGGGCCGTCATCTTGGTCTTGGATTTTTCATAATGCCTACACAATTACCTTTCGGTTCATGTTCTAATTTTGTCGGAAGTCGAGCAATTGCACTCACATGTGTTATGTATCACGTTAAATACCATATTTCATGCGTTGAACTATCGATTGAGCATTTTCGGCGTTTTTGTGAAATCCAACATGATTTCGTTCAAATTTTGTGTGAGAATTTCCAAAACGATACAGTCGAAAGTATCCAGAAAGAAAATGCAGAAAAGTGAAAAGATTTCAGCCGCTGCAAATCAACGACAGGCCAGACCACGTGAAGCGCGAGAATATCCTCGTCCTGCAAAGTCAACTTTGGCCTACCAGAGGAGTTTTAGCCTTGTGATCTTCCACGCGCCTGAGTCCAGGGATCCAACTTCCCAGCTACGATATGATCATGACGTCAAGTTTCTACAGTGCCTAGTTGACAGACTTCTCGACGCGGGGGAGGACGGGTTGAAAGTAAAGCAAATTACCCGTCTTGGGAAGAACGATGATCAACTAGGTTGACCAACGAGAATCAACTTTTTGAACAAAGTCGGTCCAAAGCTTATCTTGTCCTACTTAAATTGGTTGAAAGGTCTAAAGCTCCATGTTCGTCCAGACTTAGATCCGGTGGATCGTGAACGACTCAAGTGTCGTCATTGAACTGAAGAGACGAAGTGGTGGTGGGAAAACGTAACTCCGTATCGTAAATTTTCGGGTCGCTTCCAAAATTCCACGAATCAGGATGAACAAGTTGCACACACTTCAAGCACGCCCGGTGGCTCCTGCTGTGGCCTTCCAGAAAGGACCTAGATGTATTCTTGCAAGAATACGACTATTGACAACGTCTATTGACAACACGAACAGACTATATCGTAACGGACTGCGCATACTTTGGGAGATCAAACGCAGCTTCTGAACTTCGTCTGAAGAGGTCGCCATTCGCCTCTTCTTTTCCATCATAAGACCCATACTGGAGTACGGCTCACCTGCCTACTGCCCAATCACCCGAGGCGAGGCACAGAAGATCGAACGGGTCCAGCACGTCGCTACCAGGCTCATTCCATGTTTACGGGAATTATCATACGAAGACCGGTGCGAGAAACTCGGACTCTATACCTTGTCCTGTCGTCGGGTGCGAGTCGACCTCATCATGACCTACCGTATTACATCTCGGTGACTTCCCCATGTTGAGGCCGTTGCTTTATTTGCGAACGCGATGCAACGCACGCGGACACCGGTACAAGCTTGTGGTGCCGGAGCTACAACCATTACCTCACCCCCTGTGCTTCGAAGGGAGAGTGGTAAATTTTTGGAATAGTCTGCCGGAACAGATCTTAGAGGCTAAATCTGTACAACAATTCAACGCGTTATTGGATTTATCTTTTAGTCCCATTCGATTTAGATAGCGATTGCACACTAGCAACGACATCTTACATTTGTGAGACCTTTATAACTGTAAGTCAGATATTTTAAAATGCTCCATAAGTACTTGTCAAACGATTCAATTATCACGGAGTGCAGACACTTATGATATTTTTATCTTTTGCTATGGAGTTGTACAGATTCATATTTCTACTCGCTCTCACATATAGTATTCAGGATGGATTGATCAATAGGTCCCTCTACTAAAAGTCAACTTGATCTTCTCAGTAGTTGCACTTCACCAGTGCGGTCCCAACGGACACGTGAAAACTCTACTTAGTCGTACCAAACGAATTTGTTCGGCCGACTACCCGGACAATGAGCTGGTGTTATTTGCAGCGACACTAATACCGAAGGACTACTCTCGAGGATCTATCGAGAAACACAGCCAACCGCGAGGGCTAAAGGACTTGGTGCACACGACAGCCATGAGGGTGTATATTGGATGTTACCTTTCAAATGTGATTTAGCCACACGGACGACAACTATGGGTCTACTTTCGGCTACACAAGGAAGTTACTGTGCTGCACAATTTACGGTCATCAACCGAACCCAAAATTTGCTCATACATCCAACGAAGGAAATTCAGCCTCTCGGGGCCAACTCACACTGTGTATACCAGTTTGTATCTGACTGCGTCGATAGTTACATAGGCAGAACTAATCGGACTCTGACTTCCCGAATAAAGGAGCATGTATTACATTTATTGATTATTGTTGGTAGTGTGTTTTGTACGTTCTGTTCATGTATACAGTTCATTTACAGTTTCTCTGTGGTACATCTTTGCCGCGTTGTCATTGTGTCCTCCGTTTCCATATTTAGCTTTCTGCTTTCATCAGACCGGAGCGTTGTTCTCATTTCAGTGTCGCCTACTGCATTTTGCTTTCATCGCTCGCCTTGAATTACTTTCTTTGCTTCCACTATTCTCAACTCGATTTTTTCATCCTGCAGCTCACGGCGCCCATAACTCCGCCCACCGTCTTGAAGTAAGTACATTTTACTTTCTCCCTTCAACATTACCCGAAACCAGGTTGATAGTGTTATTGGTCATGGCTTACTGGAAGCTGTTATTACGCCATAACAATAGCTTATTAATCTCGTGTTCGAATTCACTACATCGCCTATCCAGGCTTAGAGGACGCAACTTTGTCCCGTCAACAAACGGCACCCATAATATGGGTGCCGTTTGTTGACGGGACTTATCTGCGGCCTCTTCGAGGTTTCCGCAAGTTCCAGTATAAGGCGACTTGCTGCAGTCGTAATTCCTCTCCTCTAGAAGCATTCGTTTTGCCTAGGCTTATGGGTTAGACCATTTTCGTAGTTCTGCCTAACGAATTTCCTGCACTCGATAAACGAGTTCTTACAGTAGTTATCTGCTTTCCACTCCAACTCCGGACGCGAGCTATTGTTTTGCATTTCCTTCAGTTTGTTTGCCAAAGTTCATACTATTTTCTGATTTCGGTAGATTAGTTGCTTCATTGTCGGAGCATCGTCTGATTTGATCGACTGTTAGCTTTTCGTCACTTCCCCACCACCACACTCACTGATACCATGTGTGTAATGCGTTTCCGCTTTCGATCGTGTGACTTTTTACCGCTTCCACCTGCTTTCTGTTCATCTGTCTACGCAGTTAAAATACCAAACTGGTATGTGGTTTTTTTTATACCGTTAAAGCACACGTGGGCTGGATCATTTACCTCTCTCTCCTTAGTACCTATGTGCTTTATGTGCTCACTCGTTTGGCGCACTAACCGTTCACGAAAATTACTTTGATGCTTCGTCTCCTTGTTTGCTGCTTCGTTATCCCCTTTGTACTTTCTGCTTACTTTATTTCGGACCACATGGTGTAGCAGATGGTACGATATGCTCCAATTCCCCAGCTCTTCTTCTTCCTCCTTATCGTGCACACACGCTAGCGTATTCAGGCACACAACAGTCCTCTCTCTGCCGGTGGTGGTTACCCAGAGCCTTGCTTCGCTGCTCCTATTGTTGTCGGTGTTGTCATCGCTAATCCGATCCCCCCTCTCAATGTTTTATTACCTTTTCGTGTCAGGTTCGCAGAGAAGAAACACGTGCGCCAAATTCTCCGCGACTTGCAGGCCGCTCATAACTCGGTGCGTTAATTATCGCTACTGCTCTGCTCTCCATCATCACGCTTGTTTCTGGCGGACCGGAGCGATACACACTGAGCTATTGCGAACAAAACCACGGTTTGTCGCAGGCAGGCGATTGTGATACTTTTTTCTGTATCACTTTTCTACTTCTTTGCCAGTCATTAAGTTTGCTTACTATTTTCACATATCATTTTTTATTTCTTGCTTATCTATTCCAGCACAAATGGCTGCTTCTCAACTACTGAGTACATTGTATCCCTATTATATCGCCCCGACTGTCCTTCACATTCCTCCCTTTTAATTGTGGACCTGTCAGTACTTTGTACCGCAACTAATTGCATCTTTTTTTGTAGCAATCCTTACAGCACACTAGTTGGCTTCTAATTCACTGGGGTTAACAATCGGGGTGGCCATTCGATGGAATTTCGCATTTCATGGCACCACTAGGTACGTACCGTCAGCGACAGATCAAAGGGGCTATCGGGCGATTGGATGCATTTTCGCATCCTGCGGCGCGCTCGGTGTGCTTGAATTGCAACAGACTATCTACGTTACGCACTTCACACATCACCCTCTGCTTTCCATTTAATTTTTTGTTGGACTCTTTAAGTAGCGATAGTTAGGACTCGAAGACGGACACAGGAAAATTGTTCTTGCTTGTGTCTGACCACTTGGCGTCCAAACTTACATGACAAACGAACAAAAGGGAGAAGCTGGTGATTTGAGACCTCTTGTACCATCTACTGCACTACCTGACCAAAATAAAAGTATACGGAAAGTACCAAGAGGATAACGAGCTAGCGAAATCTCATGGTAGGTTTCAATCGGCATCACAAATGTCCCACATATTGATGTTTTTGTTCTGTCCAATATGTCGTTCGTCTCATGTTCAGCTCCGGCGTCGAATGGCCTTGTCAGGGTATTTTCACGCTACTTAGCAAACCATTCCGTAGTGTTTGCAGCAGTGGTTGTTAGGTGACTGGCGAAGACGATCTCATAACCCCATGGACAACTGCAGACCGCCTTCAGATGGACCATGGATGGCTTGCAAAGCCACACCATCCACGCGCCATGACTTGCAGGCATGTGGACGGGTCGTAATCTAGCCTCGCGGACTCGTCTTCCTACCTTTCACAGTACCGGTCCACGGCTTCATGGAACCAGGCATCAAGGGGAGCCTCAAACATGCGGTCACCTTGTCGACATCTTCAACGAATCAGCCAGGCCGAAGAGGTTTACGCTGCTAGAATGAATGCCACTCACAAACAGCCTTAATGATAATTGCGTACAGGTTTTTCCCTTCACAAACTTCAAAAGAGTAAGAAAAATCATTTCAACAGAATAAGCTGAATTCAGATATTTCGCGTCTTCTCATCAGTTGTGTACAGACAATCAGTGGAATCAGTATGTCGCAGACACAACCGTACGACAACTTGTGAAATCGTTGTTTAAATAGAACTAATCGATAACCTCATCGGAGCAAGCCAAGGATAGACACCAACTCCGTCTGCTTGCATAACTTGGGTTTCAGCCGATGAATCGCCGAAGCCTTTGCGAATTGAAGCAAACGAGCAGTGTTCTGTTGATTAAGGATGCTGAATCATTCCTCGGCTGTTGGCACGTGGGGCAATCGGGGATATGCTGTGCGATAGTGTTTGCGTGCAGTTTTGGGCATGTTCTGAAATCCTCCTAGACAGCCTTTTAGTTCGGCCTGCGTACTTGCTACCGCAAGTACATTGAAACAGCTAGATACAGGAGGCGGTAACTGCAGAGTCTGGCCTGTCCAGTTCGGATTTGCAAAAAGACCTTTCAACTGCGACCTCAGCGCACACAAAGAAGCGCCCCTCCTGTATCACTCAACCCGTGGAAATTGCCCAGTAAACCATGGGAGCGCCTTAATGTTGACTTATTCATCCCACTCGACGGGAAGGTGTTTCTTCTCTTGATCGACGCTTACTCGAAATAAATCGAACATTTCCCGCTAACACGAACCACCTCAGGGACTACAGTTTCATGCATGCAAGCGTGCTTTACAACCAGTATACCACAAACGTTGGTGGCAGCCAATGGCTTGGTGTTTACTAGTCAGGAGTTTCTGAAAAATAACGGCATACGCCATGTGAAGTCGGCCCCATACCACCCAGCTTCTAATGGTTTAGTTGAAAGGGCAGTCCAAATGGGCTTCGAAAACAAGTACCGGCTCCATTGCGAACAAGCTTAGACAACTTCCTTTTTGGTTATCACTCCATACCGAGCAAAACGTCTAGTAAGAGTCCCAGTGAATTAATGTTCGGGCGGAGTTTAAGACCACGGTTGACTTGCTGTTTCCCAATCTGAGGCTACGTTTCGAGGTTTAAACAAGATACGTCTAAGACCGAGTATGCTCGGAGGCTGGTCGATCGACAACTGTGAGAACAAACTGGTTTATATCAAGTTGTCTACCGAAACGAACTGGCAGTCTGGAGATATGCGCGAAGTTGCGGGACAAAATACGATAGTGGCTCTACCAAACGCCAGGGTAGTCATTCGATACAAGGACCATGTCTCTCCCTGCTCTGTCTCGGTTCCGACACATCATTAAGTCCAGTCGCTGAGTTGAAAGACTTGGAGAATACCAATTAATCGGCGACTCCGCATTGTCGCTGCTCAGGCCGAGTGCGCCGACCGATACCAGTCCAGCTGGGGTAGTTCCAACTAAAGGAAGCAGAAATGCGGCATCTGCGCAGTGTTTTAGTCCAACGCTAGGCCAATCATCGATTAAACTTTTCCTATTGGTTGGATCCACCAGAGTCAGTGTAAATGTCCGTTAACGCCGGCTAACCATTGATTAGACTGTCTGAACTTCTGCGAAGCGTTGTGTTTGTGGCGACGCAATACCTTCTGTGTATTTCTGAAACTGACGTCTTCTAATTTCGTGCGCTACAGACCGAATACTGCGTTCTGCCAAGTATTGTGGTTCAGTACGGACCGGGTTGTAACATAAAGTAGAACCAGCTCGAACGCATAATAGCGTCTCTTAATGGGCTGGCGAAGACGATATCGAAATCGCCTATCAATTTGGTCCCCTTTGAACAGCAGCGTGATGAATACCTTCCTCTTAGGGCCGTCGGCCTTACTCTCCCCGATTGTTTTTTCGTTTGAGTGCAGCTTGACGAACCTCTGGATATCCATTCTCTCATAATGTCGCCGAGACATGTTGCAGCTCGTTGTCAATTGCTCCTTGAGAGCATATCTTTTACGAGCTCTAGCGAAAACAGTGCTTACGACAGCTCGTTTGTAGTTGATGGGGCAGAGATTGTTAAAACCGAACAAGTTGATGGATCCATTACACGCAAACTTACAAGTCTACTAAAGGTTGGACTGATTGATGCGAAAATCACGTCACAGCTCCGCCCACGCGGAGGTCGACTTCCTCATATGTACGGCTTACCCAAGATTCAGAAGGAAGGAGTTCTACTGCGCACAATAGTCTCAATGTTGAGTGCACCGTACCAAAAGTTTGCACGATGGCTAGCCCAACTTAACGCACTTATCCGACGCTCGCTTACCGGTTATATCCTCAAGGATGTATTTGAGTTTGTCGACAGGGTACGTGATTTAAACGTATACGGAAAAATATGGTTTCATTCGATGTTTGCTCGTTCACCAACGTTCCTTTAAAAAGGACCCTCGACATCATTGGCATTCATGTATACAAAGTAGGATTTCCGGTAAATCCTCTCAAGTCCCTAATCCGCCCACGCACGAAAGACAATTCCAATTCAATGGAATAATGTACCGACAAATAGACGGCGTGTCCATGGGCAGCGCGCTTGGGCCAGTACTAGTTGATATTTTCATGGGCCACTTAGAGAACACCAAACTTCTTCCCTTTATACAAAATGTGCGTCTATACAGCAGATACCTAGGTAATACATTTGTTGTAGTTGTTAACGCCCATCAGCAGCGTATTTACTTGATACTCTGAACCAATGCCATCCTTAGATCAAATTTACAATGGAAAACGAAACAGCTAACACCTTTCATTTTTTGGTTGTGCATATGAAAAGAAATCCGGATGGTTCACTTACTCGATCGGTGGACTGTAGACCTACTTGGACGGGACAGTATCTTAACTTTAACAATTTCTGCGCAATCCACTATAAACGAGCTCTCCTAGGCACTATTTTCACTAGAGCTCGTAAGATATGTTCCGAAAAAACAATTGACAACGAGCTGCAACGTTTCTCAGCAACACTACGAGAGAACGGGTATCCCGAGAGCTTCATCAGGAGCCATTCAAACGAAGAGAAAATCGAGGAAAGTAAGATCGATTTCCCTAGGAAGTAGGCCTTCATCACGCTGCCATTCAAATGGGACCAAATTAGTTGGCGATTTCGATATCCTCCTCGCCAGTCCGTCAAGAAATGCCGTCATGCGGCCGAATTGGTCCTACTCCACCATGTTAAACGGTTGTTCTGTAAATCCGACCTGGACAGGCCAGACTCTACAGTTATCGCCTGCTGTGTCTACCTCTCATTGTTCTTGCGGAAGCAAGTACGTGGGCCGAACTGAGAGGAGGCTGTGCAGGAGGATTTCAGAACATGTCCCAAGTAACCTGGTGGCAAATGGCCCTAAGCTGCCCACAAGCTCCATCGGCCAACATATCCTTGATTGCCCTACGTACCAACACTCGCAGGCATAATTCAGCATCCTTAATCTTCAGAACACTGCTCATCTGCTCCAATGTGCAGAGGCTTCAGTGATTCGTCGACTGAAACCCAAATTATGTAAGCAGACGAAGCTTTTATCTACCCTTGCCTTGGTGTAGTTATCCATTAGTTTCATTTAAACAAATATCCGAAGTCGTAAGCTGTGAGGTAACCCGATCATTTCGTGCCTATCTTCTCAATCACCTACAAGGCAACTAACAATTCGAAAATAAGTTTCATTTCAACAACGATTTCACGTATTGTCTTACGGTTGTGTTTGCGACATACTGCTTCCATTGATTGTCTCTACGCAGCTGTTGAGAAGACGCGAAGTATCTGATTTCAGGTTAATGATAATTGCTAGTTGGCAAGCGACTCTGGAATCAACGTTCTGTGCCTGCATTGACGTTTGCTCGCCAGCTTAACCATCGCCTACCCACCATTCACTGTTAGAGAGTAGTAGGGGGTTATTGTGTTTTTGAAGTATTCATCGCCAGGTGTCCACGACCCATCCAGGAAATCTCCAGACGACCGTTTCTTTTTATTGGGACTTGTCAGTATCGTGCATCCTCCTGATCCGGACCCCTAACTTTACTCTCACCAATCAGTGACGTATGCCACTGGTCCATACGTGACGGTGGTGGGTCGACATGACTGACCTCTGACTACGATATGGCTAG